TATTAATTCCCTATGCTACTGTAGCCAATTACTTGATCTTAGTGGTTAAACAGTATACATGTCCTATCTTATAGTTCTGGAGGTCAGAAATCCAAAATGGATCTCACTGGGCTAGCGTAAGGGGGTGCAGGGCGGCACTCTCCCTGGAGGCTCTAGGGGAGACTGTTTTTCTCACCTCTTCTAGGAGCTGTCTGCCTTCCTTGTCTCTGGCCCTTCCTCCATCTCCAAAGCTCACAAAGGCAAATTGAGCCCTCACACTTTATATCACTGATCTGTTCTGCTCGGCTTCCCACCTTGAAGGACAGTTGTGATCACACTGAGCCCACCTGGATGGTCCTGGGCATTCTACTTTTTTAAGGTCGGATGATTAGCGCATTAATACCATCTAAAATTTCCTTTGTCATGGAAAGCAATGTATTTATCATTTATGGGGGGCCACTATTTTACCTGTATCTGTTCAGCCATGTCCTGCTTGACTACATGTCCTGCCTGTTGTTTAGGTAACAGTGGACTACATATATGACAGTGGTAGTAGATTGTAGTGGAGCTGGAAAATCCCTACTGCCTGGTGATGTTGTGGTTGTTACAGTGGGATGGCATGCCACACACTCATGTTTGTGGTGGTGCAGATGGAAACAAACTTATTGCCAATCATATGACTGTGTAGCATGTTTAGTTATATACAAAATACTTGACAATAAACAACTACATTACTGGTTTATGTATTTACTATATTATTTTTATTGTTATTTTAAAGTGCATTCCTATTTATATATAAAAAACAAAGTTGACTGTCAAACAGTGTGCTGTGTTGCATAGGCAGCAGCCTCAGATGTTTCATGTTTACTGTTTCCCCCCCACCCTCCATGCTGGGAATCAGACCCAGGGCCTCATGCATACTAGGCAAGCACTCCTTACATTGAGCCACATCCTTAGCCCCTTACCATGTCTCTTGAATGCCCCATTTTCTCTTGTGCTTGATTGACACTCATGGTGTTTTGCTCATCATGGCCCTTGGAGCAATAGGCTATTCCATGTGTATATACCACACGGCCAGGTGTGCAGTAGGTGGTACCATCTAGACTTGGGTGAGTGCACTCTGGTGTTCCCACAAGGAACTTGTGAAATGCTGTATTACTCGGGACATGTCCCCGTGTTTAAGCAAAGCATGGCAATACTATAAAAGTGGTGAACTCCCCCAAGACTCATCACAACACAACTTTATCCCCACCCCACCCCACCATCTCTCCACTCACAAATCTTAGCAACCCTCTGGTTCATCTCTTTGTACTTCAGAAGGGACAATTGTGTAAAGAGGTTGGGTGCTGAAGGAGGAGTGAGAATGAGGTGGTAACTGCAAAAGGCATTGATGTGGGAGATGATGAAGGGTGTTTAAATTCTGATGAGATAGACCTGAATGAAAAGGAGAGATCCTTGGACAAGAGAGACATCGCCACTGTCAATGAGAGGATGTGGGTTGGTGAGTCCCAAGGGAGCCCCTATCTGCTGGTTAAAAAATATATTGTTTCTTTTTTTTTTTTTCTGTTGAGAGGGGTCAAGGGGACGCTGAAGTTCTGAGGACCATGGGGAAAGTTGGAAATTGTCATTGTGGAGTGGAGGGTGAGTGCAGGAGGCAGTGTGGGGCCTGGAACGCGCTGGGGACCATGGGGTCTATGCGCTCTGGTGCGGCTGATCAGTTTAGAGGGGCGGATGTTTAGATTCAGACTGGGTTGGTTTTCTGCTGGGTGGTGTGTCCAAAGGGTAGGGTACGAGGGATTTAGAAGGGCAGTTGAAATCATCACCCAAAGAGGAAGAAGCTGAATAAGAAAGTAGAGGAGTGAAAGTTCCGTGAGGTGTAAATGTGGCCGTGATGGGACTTAAAGTCAGCGTGCAGAGCTGTGCTTAGGTGGACGGTGGCCGCTAGAGATGAGGATTTCAGGATGGTGGCCAGGTCCAAGGTGTGTCTTTGGGAGACCCATCTAGGACCTACCTCCATGAGTTGGGGGTGGTCTCCCACAGTCAAGACAAAGACATGGAGATATGCACCTCTAAAAAGGGGATGTTTTGACAAGAGGGGGAGGGTGTGGGGGTCTGGAGTCAGTATCAAGGGTCAGACCCTGTCAGCTTCTCCTCCTCACCTTTCCACACCCTTGCATGTTAGGCGAGAGTCCATGAGCTTGACTTGTGGGATGGTGAGGCAGTCTTGCCCTCAGGGAAGAACCAGGCTTCACCCATCTGTCATTCACTTTCTTCCTGGGCTGTGCTGTGCTGTGCTGTGGGTGGTGCTCCAGCATACTGTCCCAGAGGAGCTGTCCCCTGGGACTCTTCCCTTAGGAGGAGTCACCATCCTCATAGATGGGAAAATACCAAGGTAGGTAGAAAAGAGCAGAAGCAATCTAAGACTTAACAGCTAGCAAGAAAAATCAGCCATTAACTTGAATATATTGCTTTTTTTCCTAAAGATTTAATGAGATTTATCTCCTTGTGCTATATTTTTGTATCTGACGTTTCTCCCGGGCTCTAAGCCATATATTCTAATTTTTCTTGAAAAATGGCTATGGGTATATTTAATGCACATTATTTACATTGAATTATGATCAAAAGGTAACTTTACTGAAACTTTAGTGATTTTTTTTGTCTGCACCATAAAATCCTGCCATAATTTGATATGTTATTTCAAAAATTTAGCCTTATAAGTAGAGCTACATTGGTCTCTCTCTCTCTCTCTCTCTCTCTCTCTCTCTCTCTCTCTCTCTCTCACACACACACACACACACACACACACACACACACACACACAAAATAAAAAATATTGAAACTACCTTACCCACAAATGAACATTGAACTCATACCTCACTCAGTCTCAGATGATGGGTGAAGGAACTTAGATTGGTGGGGCAGTATTAAGAACCTAGAAACCAAGTGGAAGCAGGATATTAGGGTGTGGGGATGCAGTTTGCCATTTCTGCTGCTATTTTCTTTCTTTTTTCTTCTTCTTCTTTTTTTTTTTTTTGCATTTAATGTTTTCTTGGTGACTAGTGGCCATCTTCACTAGGTCTCAGCCTCCATTTTGGCCATTTCTTCCTGTGAGAGGTGCTAATTTTGAGTTAGGACTAAGTAGTAGCAGCAGATTTTAAATTGATAATAAAACATGGCTTTTTAGCTGGGCGCCATAGCCATAGTGCAGGCCTGTAATCCCAACAACTCTGGAGGCTGACGCAGGCAGATCACAAGTTCAAAGCCAGCCTCAGCAGCTTAGCAAGGCCCTAAGCAACTTAGCGAGACCCTGTCTCAAAATAAAAAGGGCGGGGGATGTGGCTCAGTGGTTAAGCGCCCTGAGTTCCATCACTAGTGTCAAACAACCACCACCACAACAAAAAACATGTCTTTTTACCAATCTGTCTATATCCCAAAGTTTCTGTGAGCTAAGTCTTAAGTGATAGCCTGAGAATGTGAGAAGGCTCCAGAGTTAAGGAAGAACAAATGGAGTTTGATCCAAACCATTCGTCAAACTCCATCCGGCCCTTCACATTCATGGGCTCTTCATGCATGGATTCAGTCAGCCATGGGTCAACAATACCAAAAGAAAACTTCATCTGTACTGGACATGTACAGTCCTTTTTCTTTGCTGTTATTCTCTAAACAGTACAGTGTAGCAACTGTCTGCATGGTATTTATGTTGTATTAGATATCATAAGAGGAGATGGTTTAAAGTATACAGGAGGATGTGTGTGGATTGTATGCCAATACTACATCATTTTTCATAAGGGACCCAAGCATCTATGTAGGGGTTCCTGGGACCAGTCCTCCGCAGATAATGAGGGGCCCCTGCACTTACCTTATTGGAGTGAACCTAGTCACTTCCTAATCCCAGCAGACTCATTCAGGCCTGGGGGAGTAATGATTATCCATTGCCAGTGACTGTCCCTTAGTGGGGGCTCAGTCAATGTTTTAACAGGCAGGATCACTCTGTGCAGCATTTGTTTAAGGTCAGGGACTTCCGAGTCTGACTCCTGGTTTTATCCTGTGGCTTTACCACTTATTGACTGTGGACTTGGGAAAGATTCTTCAGCTCTTCTGAGCTTTAAATTCCTTGTCTGTTAAATGTGATCTGTTGGATAACTGTAAGGATGAATAGCACAGTCCCTGACACATGCTAGGAGTAACTGGTAGCTGTTTATTCCCATGGTGGAGTGTCTCGTGGCTTCCCAATTTGATGCATCTGAGAACTGTTAGGTGTCAAAGTGTATTTCTCCATTACTCACAATATTCTTTGGATGCATTACCTTCTAGGTAAGGCCTTCCCTGACCTCTCTTCTTAGAAGTGCAGCTATCCATCCTCTGCTGCCATATGCCTCTCCTTTACCACTGCTTCCTGTCATCCCCATCCCTGCTGCCTACTTTCTTCCCTATTTCACTTGCCAGTGTTCTCCTCCAGTGCACCGCACTCCTAGTAAACTGTCCAACACGCTTGCTTTGTGTCTCAGGCCCTCTTCATCTACTAAAGTGGGCACTCCATGAAATCAGGCAACGCGTCCCTTTTGTTCACCACTCTCTTATCAACGTCTAGATGGGGAGACCAGGGTCTGGCTCAGTGGGTGCAGAGTAAATCCTTGTCAAATGAAGAAATTGACTTTGAAAGTGGTAATATATTTCTCCGTGCCATGTTTTTTTAAAGCCTCTGCAGCTGTCTAGAATGATGATGTTTTATTCAGAAGTTCTTAGTGATAGTTTGCTCATTTGCCTATCTCACACTTCCTTTCCTGAGGGAGGATGATGGAAACCACAAAGAACAGGGCTGAATGGATGAAGAAGAATAGAGCTGGCATCACTACCAAATCTACCGACTTCTTCTGACACCTTGCCTTTCAGTGTGAACATCCCCAGATACCTGTTGACCAGGGGAGATGCTTGTCTCTGTAGTAGGCGGCTCAAGTATCCTCTTGTTTTCTTGTCTATTTTACATGCAACAGAGCTTTTGTTATTCTTTTTTCTTTTAGGGCACCAATGCCTCTGCTCTGGAAAAAGACATTGGTCCAGAGCAGTTTCCAATCAATGAACACTACTTCGGATTGGTCAATGTAAGTATTTAAAATGTACTATTTTTATCAAACATTTTAGAGTATTTGATGCAACCTCTGCTGCCATCTTCATCATTACCAATTTTAAAATAATTGTCAATGTGCATTAGTTCATAGAAATGGCACATGTTGGAAATGGGGGGGTATTTTAATCTATTTTTTGAAAGTTTTAAATGAATTGTCCCAGAAAAAAAGGATTTAATTACGACAATATTGGGTCAGATTCACATCCCCCCTTCCCTGTGCTTTGAGGGATTTCCTTTGCACACGTAATCTCATGGTGATTTCATTAGCCTTTGTAGCCAAATCTGCTTTTGCATGTCCTCCTTTATCATGGGGTGAGCTCTCCAGGCAGGCTTTGTTTCTGTATGTATCAGTATAGCCAGAGTTCTGACACTGTCACCAGCTCATCCGTAGTGACTGGCTCATAATATAACCTGGTATCGTGCCAGGAACAGGGACAGCTGTGGGGAAGAACCAGCACATGTTGCTCAGAATTGCTTGGCCTCACTTTCCTTTGCACTCTGCTGTAGCCCCTTGTATCTGGCTGGACTTCCAGCCTCTGCTTCCTAAGTAGGTTGATGATAATCAAGGAGCAGGGCAGTGTCACCCACCCCTCCTGAGCTACCTACCCCTTGTGAGTTTCCTTCCTCACCCGGTCCTTTCTCTCTGTGATGGAAGTTTGAAGTGCTATCAAGTGTTAATTCATAAACACATGGTTTTCTGGAACAACTACTCTATGCATAGACTGCCAATGCCCAGGTCTGGTCAGTATTGGGGTAAGCTGGAAATATTCTCTGCAAGTAAATACAGCCTAGGATATAATGGAAAGAACAGTGGTTCCAGTGCAGTGCAGACCTGTGTTGGAATCCTGCCTGTGCTGTTCTCTAGCTGTGTGATCTGAACCTGCATTTTCCCATCTGTAAAATGGGGATCATAGTTTATACCCACTTGGGAAAAGGATGGATCAGTATAAGACCCTGAGATGAGACCGAGGCACATTGTGGACACTTGGCAAATTTTTGCCCCTTTTTTTTCCCAGGAGTTGTTCACTGGATCAGGGCCAAGCATTAAAGAATGTCTGGGTAAAAGTGAAACACGGAATAGAGAGGAAAGAAGAGAAGGTGGAAGGATTAATAAAGCACTAGAATATAGGGCATTGTGTGGGTGAAATACTGACTTCTAATTTTACTACAATTTTTTTAGCCATTGTGCCCGGGCCTCTGCTTAGCTCTGTGAAGATGATTATTGAAGTCATGGGAACTCTGCCCTGGCTAAGGAAAATATAAATGCAGACTATGAAGGAAAAAAGGAATTAAGGCCCATTTCTAGTTTGTGGAAGAGTTGTGTCCTCTCTACTTGTTACTTTCTTCATTTATGATCCCTCAAGTGGTAATTTATGATGGTTCCAGCGTCTCTATAAAAGGTTCATCTTCTGTTACATAATTGTGGTAAAGCAGATTAAAATATGTAAAAATAGGGAACGTTCTATCTCAGCTCCCGTGGAGATGTCATGAAGGTGTGGTGGAGCCTCTGTTCCGTTCTCAGGCAGAGGACCTGAGCCCAGAGCCAGTTCCGAGAAGGTGTCTGCGCCCTAGTGAGTCCTCCACTGCAGTTTGCAATCTGGGCTGTTAATCTTGTTACTTCCTTAGGGTCTTTCTTCCTGCTTATTTCACTGTGTAGGAGCAATTCTGAAGTGATGGTCTCAGCCGTGCTCTCCCACGGAGTCGGACTTAGTCACTGGGAACCGAGTGAGATAATGACTTTCTCCTCTGTACGCATAAGCTCAGTGTCCATGATTTCAAGAGATATTAACATATTACTGTGTGGGCCCTAATCTGGTTATAGGAGACCAGGACTTGGGTGATACTGTACTGGAACAACTGCCTCCTTGGAAGAAAGGAGGGAGGGTAATTTAGAAGGTAAGAGATGGGAAGATGGGAGTTTGGCTTAAAGAGACATTTTTTTTTTTGCCTCCTTTGCACTGAAGTGAGGCATTGTGGTCTGAGGCAATGGGCAGGGGCACTGGACTCTTGAAAGAAGAGAAAGAGCCCCCCTTCATTTCAGGCTGATTCAGCTGGGCAGGTGGTTCCTAGTTCCTCCATTTCTTTTTGATTTGAGTTTAGTTTCCTTGTCATGAGAGTTTTGATGTGTTGTAAATGTGGCAACTTTTATCTGGCCAGCTGCTTTTCTTGGTCTGCATATTATGTAGATTTTTTTCTTCTCTTTTTCTAAGCACCAGAAGGTTTCATTAGACTCTTTATCTAAGCATAGGCAGAGTGCTTATTATTATTTTAGAGATTTTTATAGAGAATTATGTGTCTCCCCTTCTCGGTGGGGATTATGTTCCAGGACCCCCAGTAGATGCTGGAAACCATGGATAGTACTGGATATGTACTATGTTTTTTTCTATACATATATACTTGCGATAAAGTTCAATTTATTACACAAACTTAACAACAACAATAATAATATCCTAATAAAACAGAACAGTTAAAACAACATATTCTAATAAAACCATCGGTATCATTGCTTTTTTTAAAAAAATGGCTTTGGAGCCATTATTAAGTAAAATAAGGGTAACTTGAACACAAACACTGTGGTACTGTGACAGCTGATCTGATAACTGAGATGGCTACTAAATGATGTATGGACTGGTAGCATATACAGCATGGATACACTGGGCAGAGAGATGATTCATGGTCTTGGCAGGATGGCACAGGATGGTATGAGGTTTCATCACATGATCCTGAATGGATCACCATTGAAAACTGACATGTCCTTTATTTCAGTAATTTTCCACTTAATATTTTTGGTCTGTGATTGATTACAAGTAACTGAAACCATGAAAAGCAAATCACAGATAAGGCCCTTTCATTCCTTTCCCTATTGATCAGGTAGTCACTGGTGTTTAACTAACCAATTTTCTCATGTGGTGAGCTGGGCTCTGATGCAGGGAAATCTGTGCAGGTTCATGGATCCTGGCCTTCTCCTTCTCTCCTCCTGTTCCAGAGCTGGCTTTCCTCAGGCAATGACTTGAACCACCCCTCTTGTCCTTTGGCAGTTTGGAAACACATGCTACTGTAACTCCGTGCTTCAGGCCTTGTATTTCTGCCGGCCGTTCCGTGAGAATGTGTTGGCATACAAGGCCCAGCAAAAAAAGAAGGAAAACCTGCTGACATGCCTGGCAGACCTCTTCCACAGCATTGCCACGCAAAAGAAGAAGGTCGGCGTCATCCCACCAAAGAAGTTCATTTCGAGGCTGAGAAAAGAGAATGGTAAGTCAAGGTGGCGCATACTGGATTTAAAGCTCTAGAATAAGGGACGCTGACAGTTCTGTGCATCTTCACAATGAAAAGCCAACTTGGTTTCTAAAGGGAAAATAAGTATGGTCAACTATTCAAGTGTCATTTTTTAAGAAAAGTTATTTCTTCCTCTTATCCATTGTATATAACACAAAATTGGTTTGACAATATGCTTAAGAACTTAGATCCATCTCATGATAGAATGATTTTTTTTTTTTACTCTATTCTGAGTGGGATCTTTGTAAGAGGAAAATGGTCCATGGCAGCCTTCTGAGTGGGACAGTCATCAGATTAAATAGGCTGATGTAATAACTGAATAAAATAGTACTGTTTTCTAAACTTGTCATAAGTGGTAAAGTAAGTGCATAGTTCCTAATCAGAGTCTCTGCCGTTTTGAAGATAATACCTCATTTTTATTTGCCTAAGACAATTAAAGGATATCAAGTCGATATCTATATGATAAAAATGTGCTGCTGTCACCTGATTTTTCTGTCTTCTCTTTTGTGGGGGATACTTTTGCACTGATAATATTTCTGACCAGGGAATTGTTTGTCGGGGCAACTTGTGTTTTTTCTAGATTTTGCTTTCCTCCAACAGACTTGCACGGTTAATCAGATGTTTATTTTACAAAGTCTTATTTAATTTGATTGCTGTCTTTTGAAGCTGTTGTGGTTTCTATGTACTAGAATACAAGTCACTCAGGGAGAGAAGGAAGCAAGCACTCCCAGTCCAGTGGTGAACATGATTAATAGTGGAGTTTCACAGCTGCATTCGTCTCCCAGTGAATGGTCCTGATAACAGGGAGCAGCAGGAGGCTTCTGGAGTCATTTGTAATTTGGTTTTGGAATAGTATCAGATAATGTGCTCACACATATTCCTCATCTCCCTTGTGTATCATATTTAAGCTGCTTCCTGGCTGGTCCAGGGTTTAATATGCTTTTTGGGAAAAGGCTCCAGGGCCCTGAAGAAATTACCCAGTGAATAATTGGTCATTGCGATCACATCATGTTGATAATTGATATTTTATCAGATATATTGTCAGGCAATTTATGTTTTTCTCTAGAACAAATAAAAATTCTGCTCACTTTTTACATACATGACTATAGAGAGACAGAGGAAATTGGTTCTTGATGGCAGCAGAAAATGGAAATGAACAAAACTTTAGAAACTTACCCATTGAAGCCACGTGATAGAGATGAATAGATTTGTATTCCATACTGTCCACCCTTTCAATATAAAAATGGAAGTGTGGCATGTGAAACTAGGCATCTCTGTTTGCCTTTTAAGAACCAGAGATGGAAATAATGACCTTCTCCTTTTCCAGATCTCTTTGATAACTACATGCAGCAGGATGCTCACGAATTTTTAAATTATTTGCTAAACACTATTGCGGACATCCTGCAGGAAGAAAAGAAACAGGAAAAACAAAATGGGAAATTAAAAAATGGCAACATGAATGAACCTGCAGAGAATAATAAACCAGAACTCACCTGGGTCCATGAGATTTTTCAGGGAACGCTCACCAATGAAACCCGATGCTTAAACTGTGAAACTGTAAGTACTGGGGTGCTCTCATGAAACCTGCCTATGCACATTTAGGTGGGCAGTGCTGTGCATGAGTGCAGCATACTACTATAGAACTAGCAGTTCCCTTCAGCATATTTGGAGGAGCTTATTCATGAATATGAAACTGCAGACTTTGAGAAGCATGAATCCATCCAAGATGTCTCAGCTAGCTAATGCAGTGATGAGGCAGGTCTTTTGAAATGCTGGATTGCTTTGTGCCATGGACACTTTTAGGGTCTAAAAATTACACGACTGAATTGGATCATAACCATTTATCTTAAAAAGATTTCGGTCATGTGTGATTTGGAACAGATCGTTGCCCCAACTTAAAGTGAGTTAGCTGTGGTTCAGTGGACTTGAAGTGAAAAGATTGACTCCTACTTTTCCAAAATAGAAAATTTCTACCACAGAGAGCTGAGTGGATAAGGCGAGTCACTCACAGAGCTGTTTCGAGGTTTGGGTGAGCTTATGTGTTTGGAAGGGTCTGGCACATGAGAGGTACTTAATGCTGATTGAATCTGAAAACATGTTCTCCAGAGCATGATACAGAATGGCATATTTGCTTATTATATTTAAGCTTTGTGAGTGGCCTCATGTATTGATATTTAAGAGTCCAGCTCTGGATTCAGGCTGCCTGGGTTTGTATACTGGCTGTGGCACAAGGTAGTGCAAATTATTCCTCTTTTCTGTCTCCTTATCTCTAAATTGGTGATTATGTGTGTGAGTGTGTGAGAGTGAGAGAGAGAGTGAGAGAGAGAGAGAGAGAGAGAGAGAGAGAGCGAGAGCACGCGTGTGTGAGCGAGCGCCTGTTTCATAGGTTGCTGGGAGAATTAAATGAGTCAGTCCTAATAAAGCACTTAGCACCATGTTGGCAAGTAATATCCATGCAATAAATGTCAGCTATTTGTTACAACTACTCACAACATGGAAAGTCTATGGTTTCATTAAGGGTCTTAGAGTTTCTTGATAGTATCTAAAAAAAAAATGTGTATGATTGTGCATTTTGTGGGACGGGAGACAGGTGCTTTTCAACAGATCTGCTAATGACCCCTTAGTCTGGTCAGGCTGCTGTGACACAATGCTATAATGGGTGACTTAAGCAAATAAAATTAGTTTTTCACAGTTCTGGAGTCTGGAAATCTGAGATCAGGGTGCTGGCGTGGTCTGGTTCTACTGAGGGCTCTCTTCCTGGCTTGGACATGGCTGCCTTCTTGCCAAGCCCCCACCTAGTAGAGAGAGAGGAAGCCAATTCTTGTGTCTCTTTTTTATAATGACACCAATCCCATCACACCCTTATGACCCAAAGACCCCACTTCCAGATACCGTCCCTTTAGGGGTTAGGATTTCAATATCCATCTTGAGAGGACACAAACATGTAGTCCTTTGCAAGTTGTGACCTCCCCCAAATGGTTAAGAAATGTGGATTTAAACATCAGCTTATATCTGTGTAAGTAGAGAAGCCTTTAGTTTTTGGCAATCTTTCTAATGTTCTTTTTAATGGTGTTTGAATCAATGTTCTGATTTCCTTGTGGAAACAATTAGAAACCATAGCTAAGCAAATGGAGACTAAAAAATTACTAGTAATCTTCCCATGCAGAGTTGATAAATTTGTAAGAATTTTCTAAAAATTCTGACATATTAGCCCCACTTGCACATTTAAAAATATATTCTGTCCGAACATTTTCTGCACATAATTATTTTTCTTGAGATCCTCCCATCCTCTTTTTTCATTTTCTCTCCCTTCCTCTCTCCCTTTATACCTTCTATTCTGGTAAAATTCAAATGAATATGAAAGTAGAATAGCTTAATAAACCCCACATATTCAGGATCAGTGATTGCTAGCACTTTGGCCCATGTTGATCTCTCCTTCCACACGCCTCCTCCATCATTTTTTTTTTAAGAGAGAGAGAGAGAGAGAGAGAGAGAGAGAATTTTTTAATATTTATTTTTCAGTTTTCGGCGGACACAACATCTTTGTTTGTATGTGGTGCTGAGGATCGAACCTGGGCCGCACGCATGCCAGGCCAGTGTGCTACCGCTTGAGCCACATCCCCAGCCCTGCCTCCTCCCTCATTAAACTGGTTTATTTTTAACCAAAGTGCAAATAATCTTTCATTTGTAATTTCTTTATTATTTGCATGTATCTGTAAAAGGAAAGAAGTGTTTTTATTTTAAAAAAATGTGCAATGCTTGGGGATGGGGATGTGGCTCAAGCGGTAACGTGCTTGCCTGGCATGCGCGGGGCTCTGGGTTCCATCTTCAGCACCAAATAAAATAAAGATATTGTGTCCACCGAAAAACTGAAAAATAAATATTAAAAAATTCTCTCTCTCTTTAAAAAAAATTTGCAATACTGTTACCATACCTAAAAAGAATCCCTTTCCATCGTTTTTATCCATTCAGCATTCAAGTTTCTTTGATGATGTTATTTTTTTTTTTTATCGGTTGGTTAATTCAAATCACAATTCAAACATGGTCCATACATTGCATTTGGTCAATATGCATTCTAATCTACAGCTTGCCTTTACTTTCCTCTTTTTTCCCCCCTTATAGTTAATTTGTTGACGAAATCAGGTTGTTTGTCCTGTAGAATATTCCATACTATAGACACATCCTTGTGGTGTTATTTAACATGTATAATAAAATGGCACCAAGCCCATCATGAGGGTTTTCTACCACATTTACCCAGAAATCCATTCCCAAAAGGATTACCCAGCAAGTCTTTTAACCATGTGCATAAGAAGACTTGTATGAGAAGGTTGTAGCAGCATTTTAAAGAATAAAGAAATATCCGCATACCTGACACTTGGAGTAAGAAATGGAACATTATCAATAACCCTGAAGCCGTCCAAGTGTTTCATTGCAATTTAATTATTCTCTTAAATAATTATTCTCTTAAGCCACTATTTTCAGTTTTGTGTATTAGCACTTGTTTTTCTTGATGGTTTTACCCACACATGCATGTTTATTGCTAGAAATTTAATTGTGCGTGTTTATGACTTTTATATAGATGCCGTCATATTCTTCTACAATTGCTTTCATCATTGAAAGATCCAGCCATTTTTTTGTGTGCAGAATGGTTCGTTCATTTTCATCATTGTGCAGTATACTGTTCTGGAATATACCACAGTTTATTTTTCCATTCTTTCATGTTGTGTCTAGTCTTTGACTTATTGACAGAGCTGCTACAGATCTTATACAAGTGTCTCCTGGTGCACATGGGTAAGTGTTTCTGGGGTAGTCCTGTGGGGCATGGAATTGCTGAGTTATAGAGCCCATTTGCCTTCCAGTTTAACTAGGTAATGCCAAATTGTTTTTAATGTGGTGATAAGTTTCTACAATAGATTTTCTGGTGTTGGCCCTGCCTTATATTTTTTTGATAAACCAAAGTTAATTTTATCTTTTTATATACATTGTTAGTTTTGAGATCTATTTTTTTTCTTTTCTAGGATTTTTGCAATGGAGTTTTTATTAGTGAGATGGATTTGAATTTTTCCTTTCTCATAGTGCATTGTCTATTTTTGGAGTCAACATCCTTATAAAATAAGTTTTCTTTGGATCTATCTGTCAGATGTTTGCTAGAACTCATTACCTACCTTACATCCTTTAAATATATAGTATGGCCTGTTTTGATGTTTTTATGAATGGCCATGTTGCCTCCCTCCCTTTTTTTTGTGGTGTTAGTGATTGAACCCAGGGCTCATGCCTGCTATGCAATTGCTCTACCACTGAGCTACACCCCCAGTTTCCCTTCCCCAACCCCTCCCAGCCTCTGTAGCCTTTGTCTCTTGGTTTCTTTTGCTTAGTATCCCTCATAAGATTCATTTGTGTTCTGCATGATGCTGTAATTCATTCATTATCATTGCATATAGTATTCTGTTGAATGCATATACCACAGTTTACTAATCCACTTTAGTGTTGATGTATATTTGGTTCTCTCCAGTTTTGGTCAATTATGAACAATGCTTCTATGAACATTGTAATATTATAAACCCTAGTGCATATAAACTCAGTTTCTTTAGGATGTACACATGGAAGTAGACTTACTTGTTTATATCATATGCTTATCATTTATATCATTTGAGAGTATCAGATTCTTAAAGCAATTATACCAGTTTATATACCCAACGTGTGAGCACTCTCATTTTCCAGCATTTTCGTTTCTCCTAATATTCTCAGATGTCCTCACTGTTGCTAATGTATAACTGTTTTTAATTAAGTAAAAAACCAAAACAACAAAAAACATTTTTTTCCACATCTGCTATGTAAAGGTAGGAGATGCTGAAGATACAATGAGAGCCTTGTCTTTCTGGAAGTTCCATTATGAAGACATATTAATGACAAAATGAATAATTGGTTATGTAATTATAATCGCAAAATGCTTTGAAGGAGAAGTACAGTCTACTCTGTGACCATATGATATAGATATGAGAACAATGGGGTATCACATCTCTACATTTGTAACCAGGAAGTCTGCACCACACTGGTTGAATCCTTTTTGGTTGTCTTTGAAGTTAAAACTGAGTTAAATCCATCTTGGCAATATTCCATGTAGATTTTCAAGAAGACTCTGATGATTGGTTCAGTTTCTTTTTTGTCTATGAATAAGTGAGCCAATCCCAGCGAACACAAATATTGTATCCTCAAATGTTGGTACTGCAAAGCAGTTACCTGGCTTGTGATTTCCTGAAGGGTTACCATGGACAGGAAGCCTTTTGCCAGAGGATTCCTCCAAAAACTTTGAACCATACCATAATATTTTTTATAATGGCAACCCCACTGTTTGTAGTTGGTTTGTGAAAGTAGATGAGGGTGGGTGGCTGTGTTTTTCTGGAGAATGGGACGATCTTTAAAAATTATATATTTTTTTCCACCTTGAAATGTGTAGATGATTTTTTTTCCCTCCCTGAAGTTACTTGTAGGATTCCCTCCATTTTCTTAGATCTTTCAACTGGATGGGATCCTAGAGTCATCTAATCCTTCTTCTG